AGAGAGAGAGAGAGAGAGAGAGAGAGAGAGAGAGAGAGAGGCAAGTATTTCAGTAGTACGTTGTGGTGTGCGGGTACGTAAGCCAACCCACATTAAACCCGGGTGTAGAAATAACGAAAAGTGACTGCAATGAGGGAGTAGCGGATAACGAAACGACACCCGGCGCGATTCTGTTAGCCTCAAACAAAAACGCGCAAGCGGTGTGTGCACAGATGTCCTCAAGGCCAACTTCCGGAACACGAAATTGGTGGCGACAAGAAACGGATTGGGGGGTTGGTGTATATCTTGACCCTCCATCTACTTCGGCGGATTAGCGAGCTTGGGAAGGCGGCTGGGGTAGGAAACATGCTACCGATAGTCAACACTATGTGGGTTCACATCACCATCGCAAGTTTCCGGACTGCCTCGGCCGCTCTCAGAGCAAGTTTGAGACCAGGCTCAGGGCTAACATCGACTTACGGCTAGATTGTGGCCACCAGGAACCGTGCGACGACAAGTGGAAGGTGGTGGGCAGGACCTTGGCAGTTGCGAATTCGGCTGTAGATTCGGTTGGGTTTGCCGTGAGGGTACAGGGTTGGCTCGTGGTAGGTCCGAGGAAGCCGAGTGCAGAAGCAATACAAGCACCACCTTTCAACTACAACAAGATAAGCCAGTGGTCATGGCAGTGCTGGAGCCCTCTGAATGCCACACCCACTCCGTCCACTTCTTTCTTCACGGGCCAAAGAACGTTCCAAAAGCCCAAAAACATGATTATATGCTTGACCTTCAACCTGTGGAAATAAACGATATTGTATTGTTTCTGTATACGAAAGAAGAGCACGCTGCGCATGCATACCAGCCAAGCAGAGCGGGAGCAAGAGCTTGGGTGTACCTGGAAGGGTCTCCAACGGCCTTGGAAGCCCTCGATGGCAGCTTCAGAAGGTCTTGGGAAGTCCTGGTGATCACCGAGGTGACTATGGAAGCGGCGATCGCCAGCGACAAGAGACGAATCTGCCAGGGGGATGAAGGGGAGGTAATGTGCGCAGCACACGCGCACGCCCAAGGGGGCGGCGGGGCAGACAGAACAAACGGCTGAGGCAAAAGGAATCAACAACAGAGCAGAGGAAGGCATCACTACCTAGCACCCGTGTTCGGGGACCTGCATGAAGAAAAAAAAAACAGGGAGCCGTAGCGCACTCACGATGGTGTTTGTTTCCAACACGTTGCTGGTACCCTGAAGAGGCAGGGCAGCTGTAGGTTAAACATGACTACTGCGAAAGGATTTATGTAGTGGTGTGTGAGTTTAGCACCTTCCCCTCTTCTGCTCGATTCATAGATTCACTATGTTTTCCTGTGTCCATCTGGTCGCTAGTAGGCGTTCCTACGTCCACCGCAACACACACTTATGCAGGTGTTTGAGGTGTAGCTACAAGGAGAGTGACACACGTACGCTACCTGCTGTTGCCCTCAATAATGTAGACTAAAACTACAGACTTCGACGTACCACGTTTCTACGCTCTTGAGGTGAAAAACGAAGCATTACCATGTGTGTGTCAACGAGGCGTAGATACTGGTACTCCCACCCTCGAGACACGTCGTATGTATGATCGAGGGCATGCTTGCCCCGACTGACTGCTCCCGTTGACGTTGCGCACAGAGCACGCGTTTTGCGGTGCGGCGGGACTTTCGTCCCTCTATGCGCCAATCGAGCGGAGACGTGAACCCAGTTCAAAAATGCGCAGATTGACAGATGGCACGGCACCCCAAGATGAGCACATTGTTCGTAGAACAACGCTCCGACTGCAACGTTGATTCCTCTAGCGCTGAGCAAGGTGCACAGCCGCTTCGAGGTGGCCGAATAAAGTGTGCGCGTCAAGCACGAATGCATCCAGGACAAGCGTTTCGCTCACCAACGACGACACCGCTGGTCCCAGCCCCCTTGGAAGCCCAAGAAGGGCAGCATCCATCCGTGTGAACCAGCCCTTCACTGCCGAGTGCACAGCTGAAATCGTCATCACCGGCCAGATCCTCCAAGCGTCCGCCAGTTGCTCCGTCGTCCGCGCGGCGATGCCCGCACCGACGGCCATCCCGGCCGAGCTCTGCTGCGGTTCTCCTGCCGCCGCTGCGCGCCTGTGCTTGTTGACGTTGCTGTTGTCATCGCCCCCGGCCGGCCCGTCCTGCAAGCGGGGCATGTCCCGCAGCTTGAGCCGAATGGGAGGCATCTCTCGGCATGCCCTCTTTACCTCCTCTTTCTCCTCAGGCCGCTGGCCGGGAGGGGACACACGGCCTGTCGGGCTGCCCTTGCTTCGCCGAGCCTTGCCGGAACTGAAAAATGAATTAGCGTCGGGCTGTGGTCGCGCCGCTCGCGGGAGCGAGGATCGAGGGGGGACAACCGTCTTATCCTCCGGTCGTGGGAGGGACCCGCCTGTGCGGGAACCTCCGCAAGAGTGATTGGTTCTAGGACAGTCGAGGGATAACGCGTCGCGAGACAGAAGGTCGAGAGGGAAGCAAAGCAGGAGTTGCCTTGATGCCTGGGAGCAACAATGATGTTCTGTCTTGTGATGCGATGGCTCCGTCGGATGATTTTGCGGAGCCTCATCCCCCTAAACCCCTATCGAGCCGGTTTCGTTGTACTGCTGTGTATCCTGTTCCTACCAGTGTAGACCGACCCCTCTCGGCGCTCGCTCCCAAAACTTACACAGAAACTTCTGCCAAGGGAAACAATCGCCACAGCATGGGGAACTGCTGTGATTGTTTCGGGAAAAATGACGGAACAGGCAGCTATCTACACTCCCCGCGAGGTAAGTCATCACGATTGCTTCCGAGCGAGTCGCAACAGCTCGCAGTATGTATTGGGACACGGCAACTTGCTGTCGTTCACGCACGTACGTAAGATATCATACCCCCGTACCGTTTTTGCAAGCTCGAGTCTATGAAGAGGATTGGGATGACAAAATCAAGCGATGCATTTTCGGAAAGCTCTCGACGAGACGGTTCCAACCACGCCATTTTCATCGCCGCCGCACTTTCTGCTGTCGAGTAATCGAGCTTTGACAATCACTCAAGGTGTGTAATGTCTTTGTGTACACAGGTGATCATGAAGTATGTGATGCCAAGATGAACGCGGACCTGCGAGTTGTAGCTAGAAATCACCGTTTTTGGGCACAGCTCGCACCGGGGTGTTGAAAAGAAAATTCTGCTGCCAGCTGTGACTACTAGTGTGGGGGAGATGTTTAGGGTACTAGCATGTGCACGGAGGGGGCTGCTGCTGTATGGATTGGTCATTGCTCTACTTTGGCAACAGGCCTTCAGGGTGAACCGGCTCTTTCGAACTTCTTTTTCCTCCGCATCTGCCGCATCTCCGCATCGTTGTGAAGACGGTTGCCCCGGTGGTCTAGTGGATGTACCTCGAAACCGCTAGCGCCAAGTCGTGAGATCAAATCCCCATGGGGTGAAAATATTACAAATTTGTGGGCGAAAGCGAAAGAAAGCTGAAAAGTTCTCGTTAAAGTATGTATACCAAACATCGACGCTAGCACCGTTGACGAGCGAAAGGGACGGCGGCTGGACCCTTCTCGCGGAAAAAAAAAAAGGCAGCACGCACCTTGGCGCACCGCAGGAGGAAAGTTGGGCACGAAAATAAAAATAAAAAAAGGTTCCGATGTTTGCTCCCTCCTGTGTGACCCTGGATGGTTGCAGTTGTACGAAAAAATACAATGAAAGGTGCTGTACTCGACACAAAGTGGAACGTGTAGCACACGCCCCACCACGAAAAGTGGAGGGATGTCGCCTGTAGTGAGTAGGACGAAAAACACGACACAACACACAACACACGACACACATCCCTTTTGTTGTTTCTGTTCGCATACGACGAATTGAAAGTAGGGCCTGATGAAGCCGTACTTCACTAGGGGGTACACGCTCTTTTCAAGCTGCTCGGGTCAATAGCTGTGACCCTATCTCGAGCAAGTCAACTACTGCTGTGAAAGATAGTGCTACTGATGTTTTTTTGGCCCGCCTGATGTCTTTTGGCCCGCCTGCCGTACGCACCGTAGAGATCAATTTTTCTGGGTGTCGAAAATGAAGGAGTTCCGGAACTAACATAGGCCGGTACATGACCAAGTAGCTCTGGGGGTTGCATTGTCGGCCAAACTCTGTGCATCCCCTGATCCATAGATCGGATAGGGCAGTGTTTGTGTGGCTGGTTGAGACAGATTTTTTTGGCACCCCGTGTACCTGTAGACAGGACTTGCAGACAGGACTTGTAGACGAGACTTGTAGACAGGAAGTACGAAGTAGGTGTGGGCCTCTCCTGCTTTAGGTCTGATGTGCACAACACGCCGAAAGGTTCCCCGCAAACGAATGTTCAACAGCCAATATGCACCCAAGGAAACTGAACATGAACTTCTAACCGTAACCTCCATGCATGCATTCCCAACAACTCGTCCATTACTATGCAGGTGCTGCGAGTGCACCCAACGCCCCTTATCGTAGCAAGAGGTTCAGGTGGTCGAGTCTCTCGTCAGAGGTTGTAGAGAAAGTTGCTTGATCTCTTCAGCCTTTCGCAACAGATCGAGTTGCAGCACTTGTGAAGAACGGGGGCACTTCACACCTTTCTCTCGAAACTGCTGATTCGTCCAAATGTCATGTTACAAACAGATGGTAGCGGAGGAGGGCAACGACTAGGGACCGCCGCGGAGCACCAGCAAGAGCGACAAAGAAGGGCAGACCAGGCAGCGGCAGCGCGAGGTGAACTGAGCTGAACCCTGGTCATGCAGATCTATTTACCGTACGTACGCGAAAAGAAGCGACGGGTTGTGTGGAGTTGGCGCGCAGAACAAAGACATGGTCGCCGCCAAGTAGGCGCATGGCCTGGTGTATGGTCAAACCACGAGATATGAGACGTGTGCCAGAGTCTGATTACGCCGCGATTGCCTCTTTATGCGTTCCTCGTTTCCATGCGTGATAGCCCCCCCACTCCACCCTGCACGAGGACCATTTTTTGTTTCAGCTTGTCGCGCCTCGACGCTCTTGTGGCTTTACCGATCGGACCTCGGAGATCGTACGTGAGAGCCATCCTCCCGCAGCTTGCTAGCTCGAGTCCGTCTCCCACCCGCTGAAGATTTCCGCGATGCCAATGCTGTCGTCGTCGTTGTTGCTGCTGCTGCTGCTGCTGCTGCTGCTGCTGCTGCTGGCCCATGCTCCCCTCCCATGCACCGTGTCTTGTCGTGCCGCCAGCGGCAGTACAAGACGAGCCGGAGCGAATATTTGATCCTAATTTGACGGACTCCGAGCGGCAGCGGCAGGTGAAAAAAATGCTTTGTTGGCGGCGTTGTTTCGGTCATTTTCCGTGTCTTGAGGCAATCGCTTGCTGCTTTGTTGCCTGTGCTTTGCCAGTTGTGTTCTTGCCAAGGATAAGGTAGAGCGCTGCTCAGTCCTCAAATTTCGGGCACAGTGCCGGCCGGTCTTGCTGCCCCCTGCTGCTAGTGATTTTGCATGACAGCAGTGGCGCCCCCTGCCTTCCTAACCGCCGAACCCACGCGGGTATGTTCCTTGCATGGCTTCTGGATCATGGATCGATCCGCGCCATCCCCTCTTCCTCCTTTGCGAGTTGCGAAGGTTCATAAGACTTCGAGTTTTGCGGTAGGTTTGGCAGGGACCACACCGAGGTCCTTGAAGGTGTTCGGGACTCGATTGCGACGCTTGTCTTCGATAATAAAGCTAGAATGAACGGTTGCTACAACAACCGCTCCCCTGGGTTCGGCGCCCGGTTTTACCTGCTTCCATGCGATCGTCCCCGCCCTGGCCGTTATTTGACGTTAGTTTGCACTTCGCCCCCACTAGTATGATGTCATCGTTCCTGCTGCCTCCCGTTTGGTGTTGTTCCCTCCCAGAGAGAATTGAGGGCACAGGCAGTCGAGAGACGATCGCAGCCGAAGAAACCGAAGGCACCGGCGTCAAGCCAAGAGTTCCGCAACCCCAACAACGACCCGAACATGTTGAAGTGGTCTGTGTGATTCGGATGGCTTCTGCTGCTGCAAGAGCGCGCGCCGGGCGACAATAGGGGCTTACGAAGGGACCCCCCCCTCCTTTCTCGCGCTTGGTGCAATGAATGGTGGCCCGGTCGGCGAAAGCCAAACAACCGTGACTAGAGTACCCTCGCCTGCGGAATGCGCAGTGTTGAGTGTACTCGATTCATTTCCCCGTGTTGGTTCGTCCTCCTGTTCTGTACGCTGGGAGCGAAGCTGTCATACGGAACGCGGTAGATCAGTACGAACTTCGAAGTACTTGCATGTTTTGATGGGCTGCGGGAGACACGTCGTGCAAGGGTCTCGACGGTTCCTCGTTTTTTTTTTCTCTGATTTTGGTCGGTAATGTATCCCTAGAACCTTTTTGATTGGCAATGAACGCCCAGGGGCGATCGACCACGCTAACCTCGCTTTGACCTAGACAAGGTCTACGTGTGCATATATCAAGTCAATCTATCGTGGTGGTGGTCGGAGGGGGGGGGAGGGGTGTACTCATGGTCGTGCATGCCGACGTCGTCAGAACATTGACTTCGCATCCCTACAAAGCCGGGACGGAGCACGCCGGGTTCTCACCGGACCAGGCTCTAACACCACCAAGCGCGAAGCGCGGTGGGGCATTCGGCTAGTCGCATGAAGGGTGCGCTGCGTCCTGCTACGGGTGTTCGGTATCTTGTGCTTACTTCCTTGCATACGGATGACAGCTGCGTATGACTTAATTCATTTTCTGGTTCTTCACTTCGAGAGACAGTTGTAAGCACTGAGTAACTGCCTCGAGGGTGCTTGACCATTTCAAACAACGTGGTGCGATTACCCCTCGCGCGGAGTGAGGGTCCTAAACGGCAACCTGTTTGCCGAGTTCACGAAGTGAATTGGCGTGTTTTACAACGTCGTTGCCAAGNTCTTCACTTCGAGAGACAGTTGTAAGCACTGAGTAACTGCCTCGAGGGTGCTTGACCATTTTAACCAACGTGGTGCGATTACCCCTCGCGCGGAGTGAGGGTCCTAAACGGCAACCTGTTTGCCGAGTTCACGAAGTGAATTGGCGTGTTTTACAACGTCGTTGCCAAGCGGCGAAATCCCAATCCCGATGGCAAACACCTGGGGGGGGGGTGTACTCAGAGTCATGCATGCGGTAGTCGTTAGACCATTGACCTCGCATCCCTTCAAAGTCGGGACGGAGCACGCCGGGTTCTCACCGGACCACGCTCTCACATCACCAAGCGCGAAGCGCCGTGAGATATTCGGCGAGTCGCATGAAGGGTGCGCTGCATCCTGCTAAGGGTGTTCGGCATCTTGTGCTTACTTCCTTGCGTACGGATGACAGCTGCGTATGAATTAATTTATTTTCTGGTGCTTTCACTTCCAGAGACAGTTGTAAGCACTGTGTAACTGCCTCGAGGGTGCTTGACCATTTTAACACAACGTGGTGCGATCATCCCCCTTGCGCGGAGTGAGGGTTCACCCCGCACAACATGATCTACTCAACCATCATTATGGTTACCGCCCAAAAAAAATAAACGGAGGAAAAAAAAAAAAACGGTAACCTGGTTGCCGAGTTCACGAAGTGAATTGGCTTGTTTGACAACGTCGTTGCCAAGCGACGAAAACCCAATCCCGATAGGCAAACACCGGAGGGGGGGGGGTGTACTCATAGTCGTGCATGCCGTAGTCGTTAGACCATTGACCTCGCATCCCTACAAAGCCGGGACGGAGCACGCCGGGTTCTCACCGGACCAGGCTCTCACACCACCAAGCGCGAAGCGCTGTGAGATGTTCGGCGAGTCGCATAAAGGGTGCGCTGCATCCTGCTACGGGTGTTCGGTATCTTGTGCTTACTTCCTTTCGTACGGATTACAGCTGCGTATGACCTAATTTATTTTCTGGTGCTTTCACTTTCAGAGACAGTTGTAAGCACTGTGTAACTGCCTCGAGGGTGCTTGACCATTTCAAACAACGTGGTGCGATTACCCCTCGCGCGGAGTGAGGGTCCTAAACGGCAACCTGTTTGCCGAGTTCACGAAGTGAATTGGCGTGTTTTACAACGTCGTTGCCAAGCGGCGAAATCCCAATCCCGATGGCAAACACCTGGGGGGGGGGTGTACTCAGAGTCATGCATGCGGTAGTCGTTAGACCATTGACCTCGCATCCCTTCAAAGTCGGGACGGAGCACGCCGGGTTCTCACCGGACCACGCTCTCACATCACCAAGCGCGAAGCGCTGTGAGATGTTCGGCGAGTCGCATAAAGGGTGCGCTGCATCCTGCTACGGGTGTTCGGTATCTTGTGCTTACTTCCTTTCGTACGGATTACAGCTGCGTATGACCTAATTTACTTTCTGGTGCTTTCACTTCCAGAGACAGTTGTAAGCACTGTGTAACTGCCTCGAAGGTGCTTGACCATATTAACACAACGTGGTGCGATCATCCCCTTTGCGCGGAGTGAGGGTTCTCGACCCCGCATAACATGATCTACTCGGACCACCATTATGGATACCGCCAAAAAATAAACAGAGGTAAAAAAGCAAACGGTAACCTGGTTGCCGAGTTCACGAAGTGAACTGGCTTATTTTACAACGTCGTTGCCAAGCGACGAAAACCCAATCCCGATGGCAAGCACTGAGGGGGGGTGGGAGGCGCATCCACCTTTGGCTGTTCCTGCTACACCTGCAGAATGTCCGTGCGTATTTAGTAGCTACATTTGACTCGGTGGTGTCGTGGGCACAGCTTTAGACACTCACCGCATTGTGGCCCTTTTGTCCGAGCAACCTAGGACACAGCAGTAACGCTGCCACCCGTGACACAGTATCCTTGAGGTACTTACAGGCAGGGTCCAAATGACGCCGGCCGTCCCATAAACAAGGAGAACTTGTCTGCCTGGTACTTTTGGGGATTGATGCGTACACGACGTCTGTAGTCTCGGGTTGGACGAACTTCGATGGGCTTACAGAGGCGGGGGGGGGGNCCAAAGGTTCGACGATGGTCGGGCATTTGTGCGAAGAACCGCCCTTGACTGCTCATCAGGGACGAGCCGGTTTTGTTGTTGACTCAGTAGCCGTAACCCGCAAGATATGGCGCGTTTGATTGCGGGGGATCGGAAATTGACGAAATTGTATGTCATCAAGGAACTGTGATTTTGTGCGTGACCTTTGCTTGATTCCCTGGGAATTCATTCACTCCCGAGGGGAAACGGCATCGTTTGTGTGTCTGGCACCCGTTTTCGGTGTACAACAACCTCGTTGTCCCGTGCTGCGTAAGGCTTTTCGAGTACTCCGTGTGTACGCGTATCGTTGAAGCAATAATTCTTCGATGATAAAGTCGACACCGTAAGACCGGAAAACTGCGAGGTGCTGCAAGTATGTTTCCATCCATGCATGTTACTGTTTCCAGGCGTGCATATGACTGACCGCAGTCTATGACATGATGGGATTGTTATAGCATGCTAGACTAATCCCCCAAGTTTGGAGTCAAGGTGACATCAAGGATTCACGACTGATGGCGGGGTAAGTAAGGCGAATGTAGACTATACAGATAGCGCCCGCACTTAAGAACTTAGCAGTTAAGATATTGAGACTTGAGCACCATTTGTGAGCTCGGATAAGGACCCCACACTACAGCGGTAGGAACTCCATCGGTCACAACGTGATGACGGCCATGCAGATTTGTTCCGCGACCGGCTGTGATGTGATAGGACTTCAGGAGACCCGACGGGAGGGGCAAGGTTCAATTGCGCACGACGGGTACGTGATCATCTGGAGTGGCGCCCGTGCTGGCACCAAGGACAAGAGGGGCGTACACGGTGTGGGCATAGCGATCAAGGAGGCCATGTGGGGGTGTGTGCGCGAGGAAGGTAGGACGGTGGAGTGCATTAGCCCGAGGCTGATGAAGGTGCGTCTACAAATTGGCCGCACCTGCGGAGTAGCTTTCGTGGTGGGGAATGCCCCCGCGGAAACTGTCCGCACCACCGCGGGCGGTGATGTTATCGCCAAGGACTCTTTCTGGACTGCTCTCGACGCAGCGATCCGGGAGGTTCACAGCCCTGACCATCTCGTGGTGCTAATGGACGCCAACGCACGCACTGGTAGGAGGCGAGACGGGTGCTGCGATGCCAAGATTATGGGCGCTGAACAACAACGGGGAACGACTCCTTGGACTGGCATCAGACAACCAACTCTCCCTGACCAACAACTACTTCCGGACACCGAAAGGTGGAGTGCAGCACACATTCCAGAGCTCCAGCAAGGGGAAGGAGAAGTACCGCCTCACCTTTATCCTCATGCGTCAGACGGACCGGCGTTTCGTGCGTAATGTCTCCGTCAAACGTGTCGACTTCAAGGACTCTTAACCACAACCTCGTGGTTTCGACTGTCCGCCTCCCCCCCCCTGTCGCACCCGACCGACGAGTGCAAGGGAACAGCGGAAGCAGCCGGATCCGTATCGACCTCGAGCGGTTAACGAAGGACAAGCACCTACGGGACGCCTTCCAAAACAGGGCCTCCGGCCGCTCTCCGTCCACGGCGCTCAGGCGGCAAGGTGCGAACGAGGGCAGAGAGGCTGGTACACGAGCGAAGCGCAGCACGAGATCTCCGAAGCGTCGAAGGAGATTAAGGCGGCCCAGCAGCAACTGCGTGGGGCCTCAAAGAACAGCGCCTTCGAGGCGACCCTGAAGGCGATGCTCAAGGCGGCGCGGAAGAAGCGCAGCATCGCGAGGTGGAGAGCACTGGAAACGTTCTTCGAGGGCTATGTAAGGCAGCTCGAGAAGAAGAGCCGCGAGGGGGATCAGCCGGGTTTCTACAGGCACCTGAAGATGATCGACGTCGAAGGTAAGAGGTCGTTCACCTCTCAGAACATCAAGGACGAGGACGGCAAGGTCCTTCGGGACCCCACGTTTATTCGCCAACGGTGGGCACGGTGGTTCCACAAGCTTCTCAACACCA